CTGATTTTTCTAATTTCTGAAGAACTTCATATTTAAAAAGTAATAATAATTTATAGGTGAGACTTACAAAAAACATAAAATTAACCATTTTAAAGTGAGCAATTAGGTGACATTTAGTCCATTCACGATGTTGTGCAAACTCTTACTTTCTCTTGTCTCTTGACATCTGAATGGCTTTGAAAACAAAGTGGCATTCTATTTTTTAATAACAGCTTAATTGAGATAGAATTCATGTACCATAAAATTCACCCTCTTAAAGTATACAATCTAATGGTTTCTGGTATATTCATGCAGTTGTGCAACTATCCCCACTAACTAGTTCCATAATATTTTCATACCCCTCAAAAGAAATCCCTGTGTCTATTAACAGTCACTCCCCTCTCTGCCTAATCCCTGGCAACCATTAAATCTGTTTTCTGTCTCTTTGGATTTGCCTATTCTGGACATTTCATATGAATGGGACCATATAATATGTGTTCTTTGTTTCTGGCTACTTTCACTTAGCAGAACATTTTCAAGATTCACTCACAGTGTAGTATTTATCAGTACTCCATTCCTTTTTATGGCTGAATATTTTATCATATGGACATTCATTAGTTGATGTCCATTTTTTTATATTATGAATAATGCTGCTATGAATATTCATGTAAAGCTTTTGATTGGACACATATTTTCTATTCTTTGGAGTATAGTTTTGTTGTTTTTATGTATCAATTTCACATTGATAGAAGGAGGTATAAAAGTAAAACTAGGAAGAATATGTAATTCCTCCGTGCTTGGGGAAAGGTATCTATAGAAGGTAACTGCATCCAAAGAGACAGAACTATAAGAATGGAGAGATTTAGGAATTCTGAGTACAAACAAAATGACCAAAGGGCAATTTCAGGAAAATATAACCCAAGGTGTGAAAAATCCATTGTCCATTGTAACCTCTCTTGAGAGGGACAGTGTTAATTGCGAATCTTCAGGAGTCTCATAAAGGGGAACTCACAAACGAGAATTTGGCCATTTTGGCAATACTGCCCATAAAAGGACACCAAGGTTTCTCCAGCTGCCAAGTACTCTGAGTTGTGGGGACAAAGAAGCCCTTGGCTTTCTAACTTCACAACCTGTCACAAGCAAAATCTCCTCATCTTCCTCTATTCTCTCACTCTCCAGATAGCGCAACTGAATCCCGGCACCTGGCCTTAAACATCTTGGTCATCAGGTAGTAAGCACCATCTAGAGAGGCTGCTGGCTTGCACTTAGATGATGTTTGCATTTCACTTGTCATTCCCTTTATTCTCTCATGAGGGTATGCCTGTCACAACAGGGCTTAGCTGTTGGAATACAGAAGGAGCTTTATTCTAGATGGCTAGATATAGCCTCACATGTCTTTGTGCAGTAGACCATGTAGTGGGCATTATGATGTGGTGGCAGCTGCTGGGAACACTGATGGTGCTCATGGATCCTTAAGCCCCACTTTACTGCAAACAGAACCTTCATGTAGGAGATGAGGACTAAATATTTTTTAAAATAAACAATAAGCAATTCAGTCTATCATGAAGCTCTATTCCTGGTAGCATAGGACAAACATAGATGGCCCAGGGATAAGGGCTTCAGACCCTTAAGAACCTAAGCATTGGAAGAAGAGCCACATAGGATCTTGTACATAAGACTATGTACTGAAAATGGTACATTACTCCAAATCTTTGTGGCCTTTACTAAATATATTACTTACCTAAAGTGAAGGATAGCCAGAGGACAGGGCCTGCTGTCATCAGCCTTAATGGAAAACAACTACCTGGGTACTGGTGTGGTGTCCACGTATCTGATACACTTAAGGACCAGAGCAGCTGGAACACCCTATGCCGCCGTCTACCCTGGTCACATTGCAGACAGCAAAGCATTGCTATCTGGGTCTGTACTTTTATTCCAGGGCTTCATCAGTGTGCATGCACTACTGATGCCATGGTTCTTCCTTCCATTACACAATAAAAAGGGCATATCGGTTATAAATGACCTTTCCCATCTGTCCATTTCTCATTCTACTCTCTTCTCGACTTAAAGCCAAGAATTCAGGAAATTGACTTTTTTTCCTTTAGCTAGAATTCCCCAAGGTGTTATGAGTAGAGAAAAAGAATGGTGTTTCTAAACAGTAGACTAAATAGACTTGAGGTGGCTTATATATTTCACTTGTATTAAGATGAAAAGTTAGGAGGAAAATCATGGTGTAGATGATAGAGGCTCTGTTCATCCCTCTGGCAAACAAATCAAAGTCGTGACGGAAACAAGGAGCAAAACAGCAAGGAAAAATTGCCTGAGATCTAGATGAATAAGCCATACAACTAAGGAGAGAAATAAGAAATCACCCTGCAACAGGAGAAGGTAGGATGGAGCGGGGATGTGAGGCTGCCCAGTCCCCAGCAGCTGAATGGGACAGAAGCTGCAGCACCTGCAGATGCCTCTTATAGGGGCCGTGTCCAAGTGGACTTTCCTGGTAACAGATCTGCTTACTCTGAGCACCAGCGCTGTGTGGGCTGCTCAGGAGCCACCAGGGACTTACAAAAGGACACTGCATTGTCAGAGTGAGGGCCGGAGGTGAGGCTTTCTCCTGGGCAGAAATGCCGGCGGTATCCATTGTTCCTCTGTGGAGCCCTCCCCATTCCCAGTGTGTGAATGCAGCACTGCCATAGCTGAGACATCATCAAACTAGATAACAGAGGTTTCTCTGCCCAGAGGATTCCTTGAAACTCTACCTCCTTCTATTCTCGGTCCCACCCAACCACATACAGGTGTATCCTCGGAGAGTGAGGTGCTCCTTGCTGAGCAGCACCAAGACTCACACTAGGCAGCTGACCTCAATTTCTGGGGTGGTTTCTTGAGGCAAAACTATAAGCACAGCATCTGTGGATTGCTTGCTGAATCTTAACAGGTGGCCCTGGAGGGGCACAGGCTTGGACTAAAATTTGGCCTGCAGCTGAACCCCTCTCAGGACTGTGTCACTGGACACCTACCATATGAAGCTGCACTAATCAGACCAGGAGACTTAAGAGAAACAGAGATGAAAAGGCAGCCAAAATGGGAAGACAAAGAAGCAGAAACCATATGAGAGAACAGAACAGAGATCCAAAACTAATGGAGTCAAGCAATCTAACAGATGCAGAGGTCAAAACACTGGTTATAAAGTTGCTCAATGAACTTAGGAGAAGTATAGATGAACTCAGTGAGAACTTTCACAAAGAGATAAAAAACATAAAAATGGAAATGGAAATTATAAAAGAGAACCAGT